CAATAAATGTACACCAAAGGACGTCCAGCACCCCTCTAATATTAAGCCTTGTTTTGGGGGGTCGTAAATGCACGTATCTGGCTGCTGTCCGGTTTTAAATTGCTTTTTGGGGGAGCGCTTTTTGGGCCGGAGCCCTCTCCCTGGACAGCACGCCAAATACGCATAACCCTTTGTTAATTATAAGAAAGTGCGAACTCGTGAAGTGATGTTTACAAATACATTTCGGGAGGAGCACGCACAGATAATTAAAACGGCCAGTTCATCATTAGTGATTACACCATTTATTCAATCAGCACAAGAGAAAACTCCCATAAATAACCAAGTACGCCCTACCTTCGTTATCTCTCGACTTTCAGCGTCCCTCCGCCACCCCGACCTCGCACCTTCAGCATAGTTTCTACCCCAGCACGGGGAGAAGCACTCGGGGGGAGCGCTTTTTGGGCCTGGCCGAACACCGAGTTCGGACCCCTCTCCCCGGACAGGGGGGGTGCCCCGGGCTCGGGAGTCTTGCCGAGCTCGGAGCCCTCTCCCTGGACAGCACGCCAAATACGCATAATCCTTTGTTAATTATAAGAAAGTGCGAACTCGTGAATTACTGATTATAATGACTTATACTGCCGCGTAAACATAAAACCATGTCTGCATTTGTGATCGGAGAAATGACAAACAAGCGCTACTCTACACTGCCCAAAACTTGTGTTTGAATGATCAGTGGCAAATTCTTTAATTATAAAAAATGTAGCCTACTTACAGTCTGTGAGTCAGAACAGCCGGCATTGTAGTCTACTCTACCAGGATCAGGAAACAATCCTCCATAAAATGTGCTGTACACATCTGAATATTTGGGTTGAACTGTTCTGGAACAGTGTTGTAAATACAACTTAACCACTGATTTCTAGTCGTGTCCTCTTTTGGAAGACCAAACAAAGTAGTTTCGCTTTCACAACACGTTTCGCGTCACACACGGCGGCCTTGAGTGAGCGGCAGCAGCCGGGGGCTTGAGAACGGAGGGCTTGCGGCAACCACATGTGATGACCCCGGGCTGGACTCTGCTTAGTCCACGGGGAAAGCCGATCCGGTGATCCACAGTGCAAAGTTGATGTATTTCCTCAGCTCCAGGCATGACGAAGCGGATATCGTCCTCTTTTGGAAGGCCAAACAAAGTAGTTCGCTTTCACAATGAAACACACAGCGCCTTCACGACATGGCGGCGGCGGCAGCAGCAACAACAATACTACAGCGAAAATAAATAAAAATAATAAATATAATAAAATTATTATAAAATAATTTAATAAAAATAAAATTTACGCCTAATGCGTGAACATTTGGGTGGTGTTATGCAAATCTTCCCACATCGTGACATAGAAATGTGGGGGCGTGTTAGAACGAGCCGTTTTAGGTAGGCATGGCTGACTCTTAACTTTTATAAAGAATATCTCTTTGGATTTGAGACTTTAGTCTTTGCAACTTTACAGATCTTCTTTATGCACCAAGAGCTTGTAACACTCCAAAGAGAAAGGAACATATTTCAACATGATATGAAGAAATTTAAACTATTAGAAGACCCTATTGTGTAATTTGTTTTTTCTTAGTTTATTTTCATTTTGATTTGTGCTCTGTTCTTTAGGATCTTCTTATGATCTTATATTGCCTTATTGTATTTGTATTTTCTTGCAATATATTTTTTTAACATGAAATACTGCTTTGATTGAAAAATTAATAAAAAATATTTACAAATTTAATTATTGCAGAAATATTAATGAGTACCATAAAATTATCTCAAAATAATAAGGAAAACTTATTTTTAAACAAAAACTTATTACATTGATTTTATTGAAAATAAAAAAGTTAGCTATTTCAATTAAGGCTTTGGTCACTTTTGAGCCAAGTTCAGTTCTCTGCTAATGAGCTGCTGATGTGAATCAGGTGTGCTAAATAAGCAGGACATACAAATGTGCAACGCTGCGTGGCCTTTGTGTCCAAATGACAAAGACTGAAAACCATTGTGTTACAATCAGAACTCTTGCGCCCTTAATAAGTTCAATTAACGCGATGGAGGTGGACAAATATATCTTGACCGAGGCGCTCTCTGCTATTCTGGGAGTCACGGTGAAATTGCAGTCAGATTGTAAGGATTTCGATAAAGTCACTCAACTGCAAATTACCAGTCTGACAACTCTTGCCCTTCTTGACAAAGAAGTGCAAAATGTGACTTGTCTAACGTCTTTACTAAAGCGATTGTCAGTTGATCAGAAGAATTCACAAGAGACCCAGAAAAGCGACATTGTGAGCTCTTCTCTCCGAAAGGAATTATTTGTGATCTCTGATGACTTTTTTGATCCAGTGTTTGACTTTGACTTCACGAACATGTCCGAGTCAAAGTCTGATGAGTGCACACGCGGGGACGAGCCGTACAAGCGGCCCTACGGCTGGATGCGCTTTGCTCTGAAGGTCCGGGACAAATATCCGGACGGGAACGCTTGGCTGGGAACATACGGATGGAGGAGCCGTTCAGTGCCCGGTGAGTGGCCCGTCTCCTACCACGGAACCAATTTAAAGGGGGCCGAGGGCATCGTACAGACTCACTTCAAGGCGGGAGACCGTCAGGCGTACGGAAGAGGGGTTTATTCATCTCCAGACATCAACGTGGCGGATATGTTTGCGAATAGCAAGAACTTCACGTCGCAAAAGAATGGAAAGACTTACAAAGTCATCATGCAGAATAGAGTCAACCCCCAGAAGAGGGAAATCAAGGACAAAAACATTTGGCTGGTCCCCATACCAGTAGGCACATCTGCTGCGAAAGAAAAAGAAATGGTGAAGAGCTCAATCCGACCCTATGGCCTTCTGCTTAAAAAGGTGTAAGGCCAACAGTAGGGCCTAGCTGAAGTTACTCTCGCATGTACTTCCAAATGCTTAATATTCTATGTGTTATGTTCCATATTCTCATAATGGAGAACAGAGGGACAAAATTCTATGAAATGTATTAAAAAGGCATATAAAATGTTTGTTTTGCACATCATTTACATGAGCTGTCTATACCAATTTGTAAAAACAATGTATTTTTCTTCTCACTTCAAGTGTTATACCACATCTTTCAAAAGCAGTACAGGAAGTCATTTTAACCCCCTTTTAAGAAATCTGAAATTTAAAATGAAACCTTTTTCTTTCGGAAAATACTTTTGATTTTATAAAAGGGGGAAAAATGACTTGTACAACTGAATATTAGCAGTGATGTTCATAAGCATGTATAGCGTTGTCTGCGCACGGACATGATGCACCATAGTTGAAGATATAGTTATGGACGGTAGCAATATTTATGGCGATGTAGATGTACAGCCTACAGTCATTTTTATGACCGTCTAGTTCGGGTTGGCCAGCGCTACTCCAGAAGTCACCTGCAGATGTCGCCAAAATCATTATTCAACCAACACATAGATACATGCAAATACATTTTAAAGTTAGAGTAAATGTACTCATTAAACCATGTTATCGGATTTATATCGATATTTTTGGTTGTTAGAACTTAAGTTGAACACAAAGTATCACCTGTAATTTCTTAGCATTTAAATCAGAGAGGACAGAACGTCGCTGATGTTTTAGCATTGCAAATTCAACTGTGACTTGTAAAGTTACCGGGAATAAGAGCAGGTTTGCATATGAGCACCGCTCATGCACACTCAAGATACACCCAATGTGTTCCCTGACCAGGGAATGAGTGCTGTCTGTATCAACTGCGCGTTTAATTAGCACATTCCCCCTGCACTTGAAGTCGATGTGCGCCGCTGGGCACAACAACACTCACTAAAGTGCTTGACTTCAGTCCTGTCAGAGGGAGACACGATGGGATGCACTTCTAGCACTCAGACCACAGCTCAAGACACAACACGACCCAACACCAAACAAGATGGAAGCACATCAGGTAAGAATACACAACCCCCCAAAAAAATCACAATTGAGCTATATTTGGTCAAATATTGTTGATTTGCAAGGTGTTTCATGAGGTTAAGAAAGAATTTTAGGTAAGTGGGCATTGCATACATAGTGTGATCTAGATGTCATAATGTAGACACCAATGCTAAAATGCATGGCAGATCCTTAAGTGATAGAGGAAGATTGTGATCTTCTTAGTTACTTTTTTGGATCCTGGGTCACCCTAACTTGAAACTGAACCCTCAACTATTGTGTAAGGCACCCAGATCCTTATCCAGAATGCTGTCATCAGTCCACCATACAGTTTAGATCTACTTGACGTACAGTATTCATTACACTAAAAGTCCCCATGGAGAAACCTAAGGTTAAACGGCTTGCCCAGAGCTTAAACCATAAGACTTTAACTGAAAGTTACAAGAAAAAGGATGTTTTATGGTTTAGATCAGTGGTTCCCAACCCTGGTCCTAGAGGCACCCCAACACTGCACGTTTTGCATGTCTCCTTAATCAAACATACCTGATTCAGGTCATCAGCTCATTAGTAGAGACTCCAAGACCTGAAAGTGGTGTGTCAGAGAAAGGAGACATGCAAAATGTGCAGTGTTGGGGTGCCTCCAGGACCAGGGTTGGGAACCACTGGTTTAGAGGACAATTTCAAATTGCAATTTGATAACTGCTTTTAAATTATTAACATTCTTTCAGAGAAACACTATATTATATGGTTTTTATAATCCGCATGCATGCAGTTTTTATGATCCCATGTTACATTTATGTGTTTGGCAGATGTTTTAATCCATAGTGGCAAAATGCAATTACTACAAACCCATGACTCAGTTGAGCTACAGGAACAAAATATTTGTACTTTTAAAAGTGGATTTGTCACACTGCAGCAGCAAAAAATGTGATTAGAAATGGTAAAATATTTAAAATGGTGACTGGTCAGAACACCTAAAATATACACACAAAACACACCTTCCTTTATACATTAACATGTTTTAACCTAAAATGTTGATATTGATTGCAATCTCGTGAACATTCATAAAATGTGTTTTTAAAAAACGCAAAGAACAAATACGTTTAAATAGAATTTTGAGTTTGGTTGTATTGAATTAAATTTGTCAAACAAATGAAGGAAATTTGTATTTTGCTTTGTTGATGTTACCTGAGCTGTCTGTTTCCTGAGCTATCACAGTGGGTGAGTTCTTGGAATTTGAGGAAATACATTTTGGGTGATGCCTGAAGTGTGGTGACATTTAAACACAGTGTGTGCTTATGGAACTGAGAAGAAGGTTTCATGTAAATGTTGTGTGCTTTAGATCACAGATGTCCGATGCCATAAAGCTCTGCTAGTTTGCCTGTTTTAATACATCCATTTTCTTTCAGCACCTGTTGTTACGTTAAGTTTTATTATTTAACCAGAATGTCAGTGTATTGCTTTCAGTTTCATATAATTACTAGTAGTGTAGCTTCTATAATAGACTAGACCAAGCTTTAGTTTAAGGGTTTCTATTAAATTAAAAGTAGGTCTCAGAAAGAGTTGTCTTCTACCTTACTGACACTTGACACACAGAAGATGGGAAAAGAGAAAGGACACAAAATATTGTTCATATTTCTGTATTGATGAAATGTGAATTCTGTGGAAAAGATTTAAATATAGTAAAATGTGTTGAACCGAGCTGAGTATACTGAACTCAAATAGGAATATTTTATCAGTATTGAAATTGAGATGGTTTGTGCTGTGGAAACCTGTCTGAAAAAATAAATAAATATAATGCTGGTGTGGAAATAACACAATATATCACAAGTTCTTTCTCCGTGCAGGCCTAGTTGTACTCCTTTTGAATGTTTTATAATCAAAATAAATAATTATATGTAAAAAAAGGCTATATGTACAATATTAAAAATATTTTTTTTTTTTATCATTGATATACTTATTTTGTTAATATTTTGAATTTAGATATTTTAACATTTTGTGGTTTTGTCACTTTTTTTATTAGTTTTTTTCATTTATTTCTGAGTAGTTTAAGTTTGTTTTTACAAACAACTTCTCATTTTTAGTTTTATTACATTTTATTTTAGTTAAAGTTGATTTTATTTCAAGTAATTAATTCTTTTAATGCTTTTAGTTTCAGTTCCCGATGATAACCCTGGTGAAAACATTTGTCTTAATCTCTAAGGAACAAGTAATGAAAACGGTGGTCCTGCAGCAGACAGTGAGACGATTCCAGACCAAACTCAGGCTGAGGAATCTCCACAGACATCCAGTGCACCTCCTGAAGCCTCGGAGGAAATACAGAGCTCTGAGGCTGCTGTAGCTCATAGTGAACCAGAAGCAGCTGCTGCTGAGGCCGTTACATCTGACCAGCCTGCTGAAGCCGAATCCAGCCCCTCTACGACAGCTGAGAATACAGACGAACCAGCACCAAGTGGTACGTTTCATATTTACAGACAATAGCACTAAAGGTTTCTGCCAGTTTCCATAACTTAAAGGGACAGTGAGCAAAGTCTCATAGAAAAACTGGCTCAGAGTAGTTCTTCAAGATTAAAGTACATAATACCTTGTGTTCTGGGCTTGTGCATGCAAATGGCTTTGGTACTTTCAAGGGACGTATCTCTAGATGCAAAACACTGTGCACATTCTCTTTTGCAATGAAGGCTTCCTGGAATACCTTTGTATTGTTATAAGAAGTTAAAGCACCATTTTACACATTCATACTTAAGTGAAAGGTGATGGCACTAGTTTAAATGGGTAATAGTGTGTTTGTTTAACTCTAAGTAACCTGACAAGTGTCCTAATAACTGTTCGGTGACCCAGGAGCACAACACTGCCCTGCTTGGTTTCCCCTTTCCAGCCCTGTTACCGAACATTTTACTAAGGGTTTCTAGCAGATGTTCTGAAATCTGATGGTCTGAAAAAGGTTAGGAGAACTGAACCTTGAAAGAGCTTGATTTCTGGTTTATGAATACACAGTAAAAATGGAATTAGGAGTACTGCATTATTTTCATCTTTAACAGTAGTTCCTTTGGCCAGATCTTAAATGTGGCGAGGGCCATAGCATGCCTCACTGCCTGAATTTTAAATGTAAATGACAATTTATCCACAGATGCAAATGTCTTGGGTGCAATGTGGGAAAAAAACTTTGACATTGTCAAATAACATAATGACTAACCACAGAACAGAATGCAACAAGAACTAATACTCTGCTGGATACAGCAACTGATTTTAAATATTCATTCTATATTTTTTATTTGTTTTAGAAAGTCCAATGTGAGAGAAACACAGGACATGTCCTAAAAAGATACAATCAGCTAACGTTCTCTGTAGATGGATACGTTTATCATATGTGTGTGTATATATATATATATATGATCATTTCAGTTCGTTTTAATATATATATATTTTTTGTAACATTTATTACCAATTTTTTTTATTGTATCAACCATTATGAATTTAAAAAAATGAATTAAGCCTAAATTAATGGAAATAATTAATTACATGCATCTCTATTTCCACAGAAAACACAACTGAGGCCCAGGCCGAATCTTCCCCACCAGAGGAAGCACCTGGTAAGTAGCGTAATACGATGCAAGACAGACCTAAAAATCTTCTCCTGAGGATACATGTCTTGTCTGATTGCCCATACCACTTCATCTCTTTCAGCCTCTGGTGAAAATAGTTAAGTGTGCATCATTTGGCACAGTTACTACAGATTCCAGACTCAACCACCTATTTTCAATAAAATCAAGATTTCATATGCATAGTTTAAAAATACAGTGAAACATTAGCTTATTTATTAAATAGATATTGCTTGTTCGTTGCCAAGATATAGACCAACTGGTCTTCAGAGACTCTGTGCCTGTCTTTATATACAAAGATTACAAACATCCCACTCCAGTTATAGTTTATTGAATTATTATTGCTGGCTTTAGCTAGATATTTCCTTCAATATTTAATACCGGTGCCTATTTTAGTGGCTTTACCCCTCTATAAAAAATGCATAAAGCCAAAGAGAATATGAAAATTGTGGAATGCTATTTATATAATTATGTAATATTTTAACCAACTGAAATAAAATGTTACATACATTTTAAATGACAATGGACATAATATTTTAAAAACAGGCCTTTTGGTTTTATTTATTGTATGCTAATGTTTTCCTGCAACAAACATGATAGATTGAACTCAACAAATGAAAGTAATGTTTTTGTGTTGTGGTTTGATTTAATGTGATAATGACAAGTTTAAAAAATAAAGCTGACTTGATCTGGGTTTTGAATTGTTGCAATTACAGAATATATAATGATGATCAGCCGTAAATTGGAAACTATCAATAGCATGTTTATATTAGCAAAATGGGCAACAGACTTGGTGACTTCCCTGTTATCAGTTTAATGGGAGGTTAAATGTCTGATTGATTTTGTAATCTGGGATGTGGTTTGTCTCCGTATAACTGTATTTACAATTTATGATTCATGCTGGGTTCATATAGTCAGAAGGCATCCGTGATGGGTCCCAACACAGCGATCTCTTCGATCTCAACAAGTCCCCCCTGTAAAACAGAAAGTGTTTAAATGAGGTATAAACACAATGCAGATTTATGGGAATTTCCTCACTTTTTAACTCAAGTTGATCACTTACAGTAAAGTAACAGCACAACTCTCCACAAGAAGTCATATAATTTGAGGTATTCTTCATCTCCGTAGCTCAAGCAGTGTGAGATGGATTGTGTGCCAAGTTTAATACTTGCACAACTGTTCAAAGGTTTTGGTCAGTAAGACTTTTAAATGTTTTGAAAGAAGTCTCTTATATTCACCAAGGCTGCATTTATTTGATTAAAAACAGTAATAATGTGAGACATTTTTTACAATTTAAAATAATGTTTATATTTTAAAATGTCACATGATCCTTCAGAAATCATCTAATAGGCTGATTTACTGACCCCAAACTTTTGAACCATAGTGTATAGTTAACTTAGCAAACACAACTAACTAGTCTGTGTTTAATACTCACTCTGGGTAGGGCAGCTACTTGATAGGCAGCTCTAGCTGGGAAATTGCTCTTGAAAACTGAAGAAAGAAACCGAGAAATAAAAAAACAAACAATCTGTGTTCTTTACTGATGACAAAGATAAACAAAACTGGCAGTAAAGTTGAGCTATATAAGATATAATCTTCATCTGGTATAGTTCTTGTGATAATGAAAAGCAGCCTCTTATGCCTGTGTTTATGTATCATTAATTGCATCATAAGTTTTAAAGAGAGAACGACATGAATTCAGTTCAGAGTATTTGTTGATGCTGCAGGTTTGCATGTCACATCACGGAAAGTTCTGTGTGGTAGGAGGCAGTGATGATGGGTTGTCCTCGTAAAGAGGAGGCTTTCGTTTCACAGAACTGCACTGTATCCCTTTACACGCAGACAGGATAGGATTACCCATCAGCTTTGTGTTCAAGAGGAAATACCCAGGGATGCTTCAGGCATCATTGTGGAACATTTGAATAATCAATAACTTGCATAAAGCATTAGCACTAAAGTGCAGGATGGGAAGTAAAGTTATTTTAGAGGAAGATCTATACAGGGAACACAAATGTCATGATTGTTTTTAACTCCACAACAAAGGACACCAATGTCATTCCCAATTATGAAGTTTTCTACATTAGCAAGACTACTGAAACTGAAGGCAAATCTGTGGTTGTATGTGTGTATGACACTGTGATGAATTATTCCACCATGATTCTTCTATTCATACTCACACTGCTTGTAAACATCATTGACGTTATTGAAGTCATTAATGTCTGCCAACAACACCGTGGTTTTGACAACTGCAACAACAACAACAAAAAAAGATAAAATAAAAGTACAGTTTATAAAATGCCTGAAAATGACTAAGAACTGACATGTTAAAAAAAAAAAGGTTCACTCAAAAATGAAAATTTGCTGAAAATTTACTTTCAGGCCATCTGAGATGTTAAGTTTGTTTCTTCATCAGAAATTTTTTTTGATAAATGTAGCATTACATCATTTGCTCAGCAATGGATCCTCTGCAGTGAATGGGTGCCGTCAGAATGCGAGTCCAAACAGCTGATAAAAACATCACAATAATCCACAAGTAATTTACAGTCCATCAATTAAAGGGGTCATATGATGCGATTTTAATTTTTCCTTTCTCTTTGGAGTGTTACAAGCTCTTGGTGCATAAAGAAGATCTGTAAAGTTGCAAAGACAACTTTACAACTTTTTAAAAAAAAAGTTTAAAAGTTTTTAAACTTTAAAAAAAAACTGTAATACTGTAATTATTACAGTATTAATAATACTGTATTAATTATTAATACTTAATAATTAAGTATTAATTATAATAATTATAATTTATAATTATATATAATATAATTATATATTATATATAATATAATATATATATAATTATATATTATATTATAATATAATTATATAATATAATATATATAATTATATTATAATATAATTATATATTTATTAAAGAGATATTCTTTATAAAAGTTAAGAGTCAGCCACGCCTACCTAAAACGGCTTGTTCTAACACGCCCCCACATGTCTACGTCGCTATGTGGGAAGATTTGCATAACGCCACCCAACTGTTCATGCAAAGAAAGAAGGCGTGACTTTTTTTTCTCGCTGTAGTATTGTTGCTGCCGCCATGTTGTAAAGACGCTGTGTGCTTCGTTGTAAAAGCAAAACTACTTTGTTTGGTCTTCCAAAAGAGGACGATATCTGCTTCGTCATGCCTGGAGCTGATCCGTGCTGGTCGCTGAGGAAATACTACAACTTCGTGCTGTGGATCACCGGATCGGCTTTCACCGTGGACGAAGCGGAGTCCAGCCCGGGGTCGTCACATGTCCTTCCGGACACTCCTTCGTCAAAATCGCCGGCCGCGCCGTTCTCAAGCCCACCCACCTCTGCTCACTCTAACCCTCCGGCCGTTCCTCACTCTAGCCACCGGCCTCTGCTCACTGCTCACAGTGGTTCAGTTGTATTTACAACACTGTTCCAGAACACTTCAACCATTACTTTAAGTTGATGATTTACCATTTTCATATCCACATCCAGCAGTTTTCAGAATCTCCCCCATATTAATGAGTGCCTATGAAGTTGTAAGGAAAAACACTGAAACATGGATAACTACATTTATCCAATATTGGATTTTTAAGTGAAAATAACTGCTTTGTGTAATAAAACTTGTTAGTTTGTGTATTAAAGTCGACGTGAAATCCAAACTGACCATATATACTTAATATATTAATTACTTAAAATATAATTCTAATACATGATTGTGTATGTGTATGATATTCATCAAAATGTCGACAATTATTTAAGGGCCACTATATGCGTTTTGTCACCTGCTTGGCCTGAGCCTGCACTCCTCCTGCCACCAACTGTCCACCAACGTCCATGCCGATCTGTCCTGAGATGTACATTGTACGGTCCACCAAAACAGCCTGGCTGAATGTAGTAGCAATATAATTTAAAATGTGAATTAATAGTGAACTCTGATTTTGGAAGGAATAAGGATGTTTACAATGCATTGTGGGAAATGTTGTCTTCCTCTGCCTTCTGCCGGCACAACCAGTGCGCTGCAGTTATAACTAGCCCAACAGCCAATCAAGTTTTCTTGCTTTATTTAAGGTTGGGCATAGTATATTTGGATATTATTAATCAGAAATTGGATGCTGGATATTATATAATCTAAAATATCACACAGTAGCATTGCAGACCACAAAGATCAATTGTAAGTTCAGCTTGAGATCATAGTCCAAGACAATATCAAGTCCAAGTTAATATGTGTCTAATACAGGACAACTTCAGTAAGTTACACAATGCAAAAATGACTGCCAGTTGTTTTAGCACAACGTTTACACAACTGGAAGATCATAGGTAAGCTCATACATTAAATCTAATCAATATTGATTCATGCTGGTTTAATGATGTACAGTAATCAGCTGAGCATAAAGTGAAACGTATATAATGTAGAATATATGCAAAAACAAACAAACACTAATCTAGTGCCAGAAATACTTTTCCAAAGCCATTTTTAACATAACCATACTGTTAAAGCAGAAGATACCGCATTGACCTCTTGTCAAGTCAATGAACTTGACACCTCCTCTTACTGTCTATTGGTTAAAACATCAACACCCCTATTGTAACCACTTTCAAGTGCATTTTATGCAAAATAAATACATTAATTAAAATAAAAAGCTCTTACATCAGTAAATGGTAAATGTCTTTTTTTTCCTTTGGAGAAACCTTTTTATATTTTTTATAAAGGGGGTTGAAGCCCCCAGTTAAAATGATAAAACTGGTGTTATGGAGCGTTACAGAAATATTATCATAATGCATGCATAAAATCCCTATTTTACCATTTAAACCCGTTTTGAATCTGAATGCTATTGTTCTGTAACATTAAAGTGAATGAGAAGACTCTTACCTGTATATGCCTTGTCTAATAGGGGCTTTAGGTGTATATGGAATTTTTCTCTGAATAAAATCCATCTCAACCAGTTTATGAAAAGTAAATCGCACCAAATCTCCAGCACAAAGTTGCTGAGTGCGCTTTGTAAAGACACGCCCCGAACAAATATTGCATTGCAGCCTATGTCAGGTCTTTTGTTGCTCAATGCTGGCTGTTAAATGCATAGCTGGTGGTGTTTTATATCCATATGCTAGAGCATGTCACATGTGCGTTTGCTGAGGAACGTAAACATGCTGGTTTGACTGAACAGCAGACAGACTCTCACCTGTAAGGCCCGATGGCGGCTGGAGCAGCTGCAGTGTGAATGATCTTCCTAATAACCGCAGACATCTCTGAACACTGAGATCCCAACGACACCCGCCGTGAAGCACAGCTGTCAGTAAACTTCTACTTGAGTTAATGAATGAGTAAAGCAGGTTTGTTGGGATTCACTTCCAGTAGGCGTCAGCTATTCCTACCATAACGACCCACATATAGAGACATCGCACATGTATTTACCATCCTTCAATAACATGTCGCACAGTATGGAACTATATTTAGAAGAAAGTTCAAGGAAATAAATCGTAGACAGAACATGTATGGTTAAACAAGCCGATACAGGTCTTTATGCATAAATATAGTAGTTGTCACATGACAGAATAAATCAGAGCTCTGTGTAATAGAGTGATTACGGTAATTCATGTAACCAGTCAAGAAGTCTTCATCCTGTTTTTTTTTATAGTTTGTAGGCCTAAATATAATTTTATAAATATTAGCTTAGTTACTGTAGTTTAAAAAAAAAAGTGTTTATAGTTTAAATTGTTTGGGGGAATGTTAAAATCATATTCAAACCATAAATATTATGTTTTTGTAACTTCAGACTAAAAAGTTTAATTTAGAAAAAAAATAATTTTGAGCTGAAAAAAATTGACTAATTTTCTAGGACTAGAAATCGTGTAATAGAGTGATTACGGTAATTCATGTAACCAGTCAAGAAGTCTTCATCCTGTTTTTTTTATAGTTTGTAGGCCTAAATATAATTTTATAAATATTAGCTTAGTTACTGTAGTTTAAAAAAAAAAGTGTTTATAGTTTAAATTGTTTGGGGGAATGTTAAAATCATATTCAAACCATAAATATTATGTTTTTGTAACTTCAGACTAAAAAGTTTAATTTAGAAAAAAAATAATTTTGAGCTGAAAAAAATTGACTAATTTTCTAGGACTAGAAATCACCATTTAAATTGTCCCTTTGTTTGGTTTGTCTGTGTATTGTTGTGAAATAAGTCCACATGGAGTTTAAGGAGACAAGTAACAGACCTTTATTCAAAAACTCTATGCAGAGTGCAAAAAATAGCATACATTATGAATAACGCACAATAAATTAGAGTGTTCAGTAAAAATGTGCCTATGTAAATGTCAGAGTATGAAATAAACTGATGTAACTCACAACTGCAGGAAATGTAAGGCATTGGTAACATCCCTAACTATTTTATGAATAAGCTTTTGTAAAAAAGAAACATCATTAGCAGACTATACTTCAAACCAACTCAGATTTATAGACATCATCAGTCCACAATCAGGGCATAAACATTGTGAGAGTCATTTTAAAGTCTATTTAAAACAACTCATCCTTCTCTGAAAAGATTCAGCAACTGGTTTAGGTCATTCACATTACTGGCATTGTTACATTACTATGTCCTTGAGTTACTGTATTGCTTTTGGTAGTTATGGAGACTCAATAGGCCTAGTAATGATGGTACCATTACCATAATTTGAAACACAAAATCACTGTATTGGAATGACTCGATCTTTGAAAAAGACCAGAAGAGAGACAGTTCAAAGCCGAACAACGCCTGAGATAAAACGAGAACTTTAAAATGGGGCACAGGAAAAGTAGTTCTCACTTCCTCACAAATACTTATCACAAGTTATCAAAAAGCCAGTGGCAGCGAAGAGACCATAGGGAAGACGTCACACAGAAATATTCAGAAACCGAGAAAGTGACATTCAGCATAAATAAGCCATGCATATTTACAAAGCTGTGGACAGATGTTTCAAACCTCACTTTGTGCTGACAAGGAATTTTGATGGGATGCATAGCTGCAGGAACGGTCCCGTTTCTTTCTAAATTAATACCAGAAACGATGACAGTGGCATCTCTACTCTAAAATGGTCCCACATTAGCAGAATACTAACCTATAGCTTGGTGATGCAAACTTCAAAAAGAGGGTTATTCAGCGCTCTAAGACATTCTCTACTTTTGATTGTCTTTGGTTTAGTAATCCATTCACACTAAAAATGACTTTGCAGCAGTCCAACCAGCATTTCTTAAAAATTCAGCCACAAAACTTCACATTTTCACAGTAATTTTCGCCTTGGATTCATTTACAGTATTAAGAAAGTATTAACCACGGATGTAGAGATGGCTTGAATTTTAAAGTTAAGGAAGAAAAGCCTAAACTTCATAACAATAGAGAGTGAGACTGATTAAGATTGTGAATAATTTGTTCTGTTTAAAGTGAACTCCTAATATTGTGACCTTTGAATTCTAAAGAACAAACTAACAAATCGTGATTTTAGGTTTTATACATCCACTGGGACCTTCTTCGAATGTAGAAACAGCAGGAGTCTAGAATAAGATGCATCAGTACAAAGACTGAACACAGAAGAGGACATAAGATCTGGCCAGCCAGCTTTGAAGCTTCAACATCTGTGAAGTCGGTTAGAAGTTCTGCTGCCGGCGTTTCTTCGCATCCATGGCGTCAAGGATGGGTTGCCTCTTGGCTGTGTAGCGCTGCCGCAGATCTTCAATCTCTCGCTCCATCATGGGGTCCAGAGCAGAAAGGCGCATCTGGAGCTCCTCAAAAATAATTTTTTTAAAGAATGATTTGGGCTCAATGATAAAAGAAAAAAAGTGAGGCTTTTTTTGAAAAAGCTAAAAATACAAAATGTATTCGTTTAAAACAACGTAATTTCCCACACGTCCACACTATGGAATTACACGTAATTTTTTTTTTTACAAATAACAATGAAAAAAAAAAAAGACAAACAAGCAAAAAGCGCATGATGTTTTATATTTTTAATAACTTTTTCTATCATTCTAAAATATAGAATATTTTAATAAAAAAGTTGAGCAATGTTCAAACCTTTAACTAGCAGTTTATGCAAGTTCTACATTAAGCCAAGATAGTTTCATAGGAAGTGCAAATACACAAAACTAACTGTCCGAAAACTTATATTACCGAATAGTGTTTATTGTAAGCGATATCAGACTCACACACTGCAGTGCTGAATATCTAGATGTCATTCTAATATTGTGAAATCCTTGAATGAGAATATAATTCCTCCTTCACCCAGAAGAGGGCAGCCAACCACTGGACAGTGTGGACAATTTGTCACTCTGGGCCCCAGGGCTGTTGTCAGGGCGCCAACTAAACAGCCAGTCCCTGGCAAGGTTGTACATGGGGTCGAAGTGCTGCCTAGCAACTGATTATAGGGTTATGGGTTGTTTTGCCCCATTACAATGGCATTAAGGGGACAGCGAGAAGATATCTATCTATCTATCTATCTATCTATCTATCTATCTATCTATCTATCTATCTATCTATCTATCTATCTATCTATCTATCTGTCTGTCTGTCTGTCTGTCTGTCTGACAAATTGTAAAAAATTGTCCACTTGTGATCTTCGCATTAAAGCTCAATGACTTGTTAGCTAATAAACACCCATTGGGAAAATAGTTAACCTTTCAATATGGAATTGATCCAAAGCACATCTGCAAAGCATCTGCATATAGTTCGTCAATATCATAGCCAGAAATGATCTCTGAAATGATTTGTAAAAGGTTTACTATCAACTGGTATTTATTGTGAAATCTCAAGGACCAGTTTCCAAATAAAAACGGACAATTGCTCCAATATTATGAGACTTACCACAACAAAACCGCATTTTTGAAGAGGGCTGGTATCTTCTATGCTCACTTCATATTTTTAAGGAATGTTCAGTGTATGGCTTGGGTTTCAGTTTGGCTTGGTCAAAGGGAAAGAAAACACAGAGTTTACTTTGTTTATTTACCGGGAGCTGCTACTAACCCTCAATCTTGAAGCCCCCGTGGTGTCTGTAACTGTATCTGTGACAGTGTCTCTATATCAAGAGTTTGAACCATGAATAACTGCATACTACTGAGCAAGCATTTGAGGAGCTTTTTCAAGCACACGGTTTATATAACACATCTCCACAGCAGAGCTCTATAGGAACAGCTCCTCCAAAGCACTACAATATCACTTACCAATGCGTCTTCGTGAAATACAGTGTTATTTTTTGAATCAGAAGCAGTTTTTCCAGTATTGTTGTTGGTCACCATGATAGGATTGTTTGCTGGTTTGTTTCTCAACAAGGCTTGTCTGTTATTTGCTTTCTGCCCCACCTGTGTTTTCCTGTTTATTTCCAACTATGGCAATCTCATCCATATGAACATATATGTATTGTAATATGCATTACATAATAGACAAATCTGTATGCCTGTGACGTGGAGGTTGATATGAAATGTTATAATATTTTATGAAGGGACCTGTGAGACGGGCCAGGAAGGTGGAGGGAGGCATATTCTTTGTAAGTATTTTCAAAGGGCCATGAAGATTTTCATCTCTGCCGTCTCATTAACAATCTGTTCTGCTTTGCTCTACTAAACGCATGACCTTTTGACCCACAATATGGACTTACACAAATAAATACGTTAATGCATTTTAAGAGCTCAGTTTGATGGTTCTATTAGTACGTTTGACAGTGTGTTTAAGTCACATTACTGGGTGCAAAGAAAATTCATTTCGAAATCCATATCTGTCTTTCAGTAGATATGTCAGCGTGTCTGCCAGTGGTGTTTAACTAAAGGCAAGAGATATACGGCTTTACATTTTCACTTGCCTGTGAAATGCATTCAACATTTTTTGCTGTGTGCATTAGAAATTGTGATTTCCTGTGATTGACCACACATGAAAGGCAGAAAATGGCAGAATGAAAAATTAGAATAAGTAGCATAACCCCAATATCACACACAGTGGTGTCCAAAAAACTAAGACGAAGAGTGAAGTGAAAATAATTTTTTTATCATACACACACACACACACACACACACACACACACACACACACACACACACACACACACACAGCATGCCGGTCCCCACAATGTCAAGAATTTCAGGTTTTACTATCCTTGTGAGGACATTTGGTCCCCAAAATGTAGCATAAACAAGTACACACACACACACACACACACACACACACACACTCCAACAAATATACAGTATATAATTATAGAAATTATTTGGCAGTCAGAAAAATGATCATGAATTTCACTAATGTATTAATTTGTTTAGTGACTTAGAAATAGTGCATGTATGAATATAAACATTGAAAAAAACATTTGAATATATTACAAAAATTTGAATAAATAAATAAATATTTTTCACTAAAATATGGTCTATAGTAGTGGTTCTCGACCTTTTGGTATCCATGGCCCCACTTGTCAAATACAATATTTGAAGGCCTCCCACTTCTGCTATCATTTTATTTTATTTACAGAAACCAGGAGTGGCAATATTTGAATAATTAAATAAAACATGTATAAAAACTAAAATGATCAAAATGCACAATTTCAGAAGCTTTCATAACAATGGTCATCAGGGTTTACACTTTTTCATGAATGAATTAACTTTTCTTTATAAACTTATAGACTTTTATAGCCATATGTGATTATTTAGTTTTGTTGTGTTTCTTAACCACTGGTTTATAGGACACGTCAGACTCTTTCCTCTCTTTCCTTCCCTCTCAATAACTCTCTTTCTTTCTTTTTTTCTTTCTTAAATAAAATAAAATAAAATTTATTTTTCCTGAAACACTATAATTGTTTGCATATTCACAACTTTTCCCCCCTTAACATTTACTCATTTCCCTGTGTTTTGCATTTATGTTTCTGTCTGATTCAGAAAACTCTAATATCTGTAGTAAAATATCACATATAGCTGGTAAGTGGGCACCAAAGTTGCAATTTAAACAATTAGGACAGATACTAAACAGCAGGTCAATGTTCATTTTTCCTGATCTGTAAAGGGCTTTTAGAGTAAATGTTCCCTCTAGCAATGTGCTGAATAGTTACATTCTGGCCCCATTCCCTCTGTAATGCAGTGGCCACTTATCCACTCTCATTTCCTGATGTCTCAATTCCACAACCACCTGAAATACCCTATATCTTCAAACATTTCCCAGTCCTGCTCAAACCTCTCAGGATCTCCCAGCATGAGCAAGAGACGTGATGCGACATGGCTCATCTGGAATGTCAAATTGTTCTCCGGTTCTTTGGGGAAAGAGACTGTTAACAACTCATCACAGATCAATTTACACAGGCTTGTCCTTTTCCCATAACCCCCCAGGCAGTACATGTGTGGGGTTGGAGGGTTGACGCTCGGTTGAGGCGTGTTGAACAGCACGATCAGAGGTCTGCGTCATGCGGTAGCCCCTTTCCAAAATTAACTAGCCCTGCTCTTCCTGGTGGTTTCCTGTGACATACTCAGCTGATGTGTGGCCATGTGACTATACATTAGCACTGTACATGTTTTATGCTCTGCTGCTGTGAATCACATTACTGACTATATACCACCTGATGCATCACTGGCAATTTCCACTAAATTACATAACACAGGTTGACAACATTACTTGGAAATGAATTTTTGTATCACTGGATCACATTTAGTGGTCTATGACTGTGTGGCTGCATATGAAATACTGATTGAACAATAAAATTGGGGAAAGATCTATTGTGATGACCATGATAATCTCAAAATATCCAGTCCTGTCCGATCTACCATGAAACCGGAGATACTAATGCGCTCTTCATTAATCACACTATTCTACCTTCTCACCTTAAGAGATAATCTGTAATGACGCATGATTGCTTGCTGTGGAGAGGTGACTATTGCATTTCATACTGTTCTTTCAGCTGCTTTGTGCACTCTGCAGAATTTATTTCTTGCTGGCTCTTTTTAAAGGGATAGTTCACCCAAAAATGAAAATAATTGTCATCATTTTATGTAACGAGTGGTCAATATGGCTTCTGAGCTATATTTTAAGTCATCTGAAGTTATGTGATACATTAGTGGCATTGTTATTCAATAAATTCTCCCTTCGTGTGTGCTTATGTATATTCAAATGTGGTGCATTAAAGGGATAGTTCACTCAAAAATGACTTGAAGGTGAGTAAACAATGACAGAATTTGAATTTTTGGGTGAACTATCGGTCTTGATAAGTCTTGCCAGGTTTTAAAACAATGATCTTAAATGTCACTGGTTTTTGTATTGAACAGTGTTGCTATTGTACACCAAAAGTAAAACTATTATGTTTTTTTGTTAATTAAAGATTAACTAACTAATATATATATATATATATATATATATATATATATAACTTGAAATAAAATAAATGCTAAATTAATAAAAAACAGAAATAAAAAACATTTAAGTTACAGTACAAAAATAACTAAAACTGAAATAAATATAATATAACTATTTACATTTTTTTAAATTTAATTTGTAAAAAAATTACAAAAGAACATAACAAAACTACTACATTTACTAAAATGAACAGTATACAATATGGTAGATGTAAATATACTCATATTCAAATGGAATTCGAGAGCTATGATGGAGATGAGGATTATTATAGTGAAAAATATTTAAAACAAATTGTCACACAAAGCTATGATTTGACTTCAGAAGATTTGTGATAGTGCACAAGTCATATAGACCACTTTTATGAAATCAGTGCACATGCTTTTAACAAACAGAAGAACCAGGCTACCTGGTACTTGTGTGTTATATGCTCAACATTTGTAATGAATGTCTCACAGTGAATGTCTCACTCTTTCACCATCTCTCTTCAGCCCAAACCAGAGAATGCGGTCACCATTGCTGTGTCATCGCGGGTTCTGTTCCGTACAGAGAAAGAGCAGAAGGTGTTTGAGCAGAAAGGAATAGAGGAGTACCTCAGGTATCAGGTGGAGCACGAAAATGAGCCCTTTGCTCCAGGCCCAGCATTCCCATTTGTTAAGGTAATAATGCACAATTAAATATCATGCATTATCAATTTATAAAGAGTTATTTTTTAGACATTGCCTTAAAGGAATAGTTCACCCAAAAATGAAAATTTGCTGAAAATGTACTCACTCGCCATCCAAGATGTAGATGAGTTTGTTTCTTCACCAGAAAAGATCTGAAGAAATTAAATCACTTGCTCAACAATGGATCATCTGCAGTGAATGGGTGCCGTCATCAGAATAAGAGTCCAAACCACTGATAAAAACATCACAATAATCCACACAAATCCAGTCCATCAGTTAACGTCTTGTGAAGTGAAAAGCTGCGTGTTTGTAATAAACAAATACATCATTAAGATGCTTTAACTTTAAACAGTCACTTCTGTCCAAAATATGAGTCTATAATCCATAATAATGCTTCCTCCAGTGTAAAAAGTTAATTCCCTTTCATGGGAACTTCGAACTGCGTCCTCTAGGTTTCCCCATAGCGACCCCTAGAGGACGCAGTGTCTCGTTCCCCACTCAGGGAACCATGGTTACATAAGTAACCTGAGACGTTCCCTTTCATGGGAACTTCGAACTGCGTCCTCTGCGTCCTCTCCCTGTTGTCCTCTTACAGCAAAATCCACCAACAGATTTGTTTAGAATTGTTTTGGACTGGCAAGATGACTTTTTCACTGGAGAAGCAATATTATGGCTAGAGGGATATTTTAGCTGAAATCAACTGTTTTGATTTAAAACATCTCAATGGTGAATTTGTTTATTACAAACACAAATGTTGTAAACTTAATTACTTGTGGATTATTGTGATGTCTTTTTTCCCAGCTGTTTGAACTCTCATTCTCTTATTCTCATGCTGAGCAAGTGATGTAATGCTAAATTTCTCCAAGTCTTTTCCGATGAACAAACAAATTCATCTACATCTTTGATGGCCTGAGGGTGAGTACATTTTCAGCAACTTTTCGTTTTTGTGTGAGCTATTCCTTTATCAGTATTGACTGCAATATTCTCACTGTCTACTACTTACTTCATTTGATTATTTTGCGTGTTTTCTCAGGCACTGGAGACAGTAAATAACCGGTTGCGGGAGCTCTATCCAGACAGCGAGGAGCTTTTTGATATTGTGCTGGTAACCTACAACCATGCTCATGTAGGCATCAGACTCATCAACACCATCAACTACCACAGTAAGTATAATTTACTGACCTTCTAATAACCTGGATTCATACTTTCCACAAACATGTACATGGTCAGAAAGGTCCATTCTTGCAAATAATGCTACCCTTGGGTGATCGGTGTTGACAATGGATGATGGGCTAATTATTAAAGGGATAGTTCACCCCAAAATGAAAACTGTCATCATTTACTCATTAAAAAAAAAAAAAATAAATAAAAAATAAAGGTGCCTCATCATGGAATCATAAACCACAAAACAGTAAAATGTACACTGCTATGCTATATTATTGATAATCAATAAGTCAAAGGCATGGGATACAAAGGAACGACATGATTCTGAGGACACAAAAATAGCAATGCAAATGTTTTCTTAGAAGATAAATCTCCAGCTGGCCAATCATATCTTCCCACAGAGATACATGTGACACCTCTAACCTTTGTATCACAAACCAGCTACTTCCTGCTCAGTTCCCCGCAGCGCCCCAGCTGGATTGGTTTTGATCGTTCCGGTGGCTGACTGAAGAAAAAAACAAACTTCTCTCCATCCTTTGGCCTCTCTTTGGACAAAACAACAAATATGCGGATATGAACTGACGCTTCAAAAACCATTTGAAGTCAGAACTTCATGTCCTGAACCATGAAAATGTTAGATGTTTGTTAGATGATAAATGTAAGTCTGATGCCGCAATAGTTCCAAAATCCATCACTGCAAAGAAGAAAGCAAAAATTATACAAAGAATACAACAAATAAGAATGGACCTATTTTTCTTTCATCTAAAGCCCAATAATTATTTTCCAGGATTTTTTTGGGGATGGGGGGGTTGGGGGGCTTTGAAACAAGAGCCAATCAGATTACATGAAGGATTATTTGATCTAAATTATCAAGAGTGTTGAAAATGTCTCTCGTGTTTCTTTGCTAATCTCACTGGAGAACAATAACCCGGTTAGCCTGTAGATGCATACACATCACTAATAATCATATTCATACTTTATTAAAACATTTTATAGTTTTTTAGCAATATCAATTTATGATATGAAAATATTTTTACTGCTTTCCTCAATGTCACAGATACTGAGGTGTCATCAGCCAATCACATAGCATTAAGCTCAATGCATTTCCTCTCAGCTGAGCCTTTTTATTTCATTGAGCTTCATTTTACATCTCTTACCTGCATATATCTTGTTATTTAATGGCTAAACTGTATATTTGACACTGTTCCTGTCTTCCAGTTTCCTACTTAGTGCTAGTTTCATGTCTCCTATACTGCACTCAGCAGTTTCATTTTTTAAGTGATAAAATAGCTCAAATCAATATTTAATGTCGATTCACTTATTTGCCAAGTACATTACATTTTACATTTAGTCATTTAGCAGACGCTTTTATCCAAAGCGACTTACAAATGAGGAAAATGGAAGCAATCAAAATCAACAAAAGAGCAATGATATGCAAGTGCTATGACAAGTCTCAGTTAGCCTAACGCAGTACACATAGCAAGGTTTTATTTAAATTAATACATAAAATAAAAAACTGATAGAATAGAAAAAGAATAGAGCAAGCTAGTGTTAAAGGCCCTTTTTTGCTTTTTGTTAATTGTATAATAAATAAAAAGAAAACAAATAGATAGAATACAAAAAGAATAGAGAAGCTAGTGTTAGTTTTTTTTTTAAGCATAGAAATAGAATAGAGAGTGCTAGATTTAGATGGTCAAATAAAGGAAAGGACATGATGTGTGGCCAAGTATGGTGACCCATACTTGGAATATGTGCTCTGCATTTCACCCATCCAAGTGCACACACACAGCAGTGAGAAGTGAGCAAACACACACACATACCTGGAGCAGTGGACAGCCAATGCTGCAGCGCCCAGGGAGCAGTTGGGGGTTCAGTGCCTTGCTCAAGGGTCTCACCTCAGTTGTGGTATTGTGGGTGTGAGAGAGCACTGATCATTCACTCCCCCACCTACAATCCCTGCCGGACCTAAGACTCAAACCTGCGACCTTTGGGTTACATGTCTGACTCTCTAACCAATAAGCTACAGACTTGCTAAGGACTCAGCTGCTCGGATTGAGTAGTCTTATAATAAGTGTAAAAATGAAGAGTTATCGCAAAATTATTATAATTATCTCAAAATAAACACCTTCAGGATGATACAAGACCCCACCACTCTACACCAGGATGCTGATGGGGGTTCATTTTACTATACTGATCAGCTGACTGTACCTTATCCCTTCTTTTACTCTTGGCCAAACTTGGCTTGACATGTCATGTAAATCAAACCTGCTGCTGATATCTTACTGAGCTGGCACCCATGTGTCAAAGGCTAAAAGGAGCACATTACCCCAACATTTCGCACCAAGTCTAAGCTTTCCATCTGGTAAACAGTTCATAACTGAGGTGTCAAAATAGTGAAATCTTCTAAGTGAAGACTGTGACCGTTTAAACACTGTTTAAATAACTTGAGGAAAACCTCTTTTCTTTTCTAACAGCCATTCATTAAAAAGGTTTTACTGATAAATTAGCTAATACCACTTTTGATAAATGTATTTAAATGTGTACTCACGTGAAAGGAAGACTCCAGTCATATAAAAGCTGTTTTATTTTAAATGGAAATAAGCCCATTATTAATATTATTTATAATATAATATTATAGCATTATTTATATAAGCTTATGGTTAAACGCTAATAGAGCATTTGTACAATTCATTGTTTTTGTTCAGAACTGCAAACACACCACTAGGTGTCCCTATAAATCACAGACCGCCAAATCAGCCACATTTATATTTACAGATCAACGCTCTTTTTTAATCACACATACCTTTTCAAAAGGTACCCTTTATGGATAAATAAGGTACAGAGGTGTGAAAGGGTACTGCCTCAGAACAGCTTTTGTACATTTTTTTTTCTGAGAGTGTATTCTAAATAAAAAAATCAAAAAAAAAAAAGCATTAGACTGTGTGCTGGATATGGTAATAACTGAATATTGTGTAACAGTAGCTTGAATGCAATGTAAGTTGCTTTGGATAAAAAGGTCTGCCAAATGCATAAATGTAAATGTAATAATATCTGGCTCTCATGAAATGTTAAACAGTTAATTGCTGTTTAATATTCTTCTCTCATCCCCAGATCTATTCATTGAGCGGTTCTGTATGACAGGAGGTAGCAGCCCCATTGGGTACCTGAAAGCATGGCATACAAACTTGTATTTGTCTGCTGATGCTGAAAAAGTTCAGGAAGCCCTCGCTGAAGGTTAGTACACAGTAAATATCTGATAACACATGCAACTGCCTAGTACTTCATCTTGTAGCACAATTACATTCATTAAATCAAAGGAATAATGTGACATTTTTTGTGCAACAAACAGTGCACAAAGTGCTAACAAGAGACCTTTGATGTTATGTTAATAAATACAATATTCATAGGAGTTTTTCCAGCCAAATATAGTTGCATAAAATGTTTTAATCAAATTTAATTCACAAATGGTGAGTAAAAGTTATAGTATATGATGCAGAATTAGTATAAGTCCATGTCTCAATGACATACAAAGTATAGCAAAACCATAAGAAGTGAACTTACCAAGAAACCAGTTTAAAAATCATGAACAGGTGTGCCTTACAGATATTAGACTTGTGGTATATTTAGATAGTGTTTGAAAGGTAACCTGTCAATGACTGTGAATGATGAAAAGTGCCAAATTACTTAATGGTCATGGTGACTCCAAAGGAATTGCTCTTGCAGTTTGCCATTTAAAATGTTTTTGCCATTAAATGAACCCTTGAGCACATCATATTAATTATTGCAGAAATAACTGTGTATATAAAATAAGCTAAATAAAACTAACTGAAGTGGGGAACGCATTGAACTCCAGATCGACTTAACAATCCAATGACCTATTTGTTTTACTGAGGCTTAATGGGTCCTAATGTCTTTAAAGGACACCCTTTAAATGTCATTCATCACACTGCTTTTTCCTTTAGGCTGGTGAGCTTTATCTTTGTTCTTGTGTTTTCTTACAGGGATTGCAGCAGCCACCATGTTTATGCCAGAAAAACAAATCGAGGTGTCTGAGACCCAGCTGAGAGTGGCATTTGATGGCGACGCTGTTCTTTTCTCTGATGAGTCCGAGCGTATTTTTAAAGCCCATGGCCTGGACAAGTTCTTCGAGCATGAGAGGGAAAATGAAAACAGATTGTTAGATCATGTAAGCATTGTTATTGTTACCCATGTGAACTGGTTATATTTTAAATATGATACAGAGAAAATGCTAAATGCATGTTTAAAGGAACGGTTATCTCAAAAATGAAAATTTGCTTAAAATGTACTCACCCTCAGGCCATCCAAGATGGAGATGAGTTTGTTTCTTCTTTCTTTTTCACTGGAGAATATGTTATATATAGAGGGCTCATATTTTAGCCAGAAGCAATGGTTTAAAGTTAAAAACGTCTTAATGATTAATTTGTTTATTACAAACATGGATCTTTTTACTTCACAAGACATTAACCGATGGACTGGATTTGTGTGGATTAGTTGTGGATTATTGTGATGTTTTTATCATCTTTTTGGACTCTCATTCTGATGGCACCCATTCACTGTAGAGGATCCACTAGTGAGCAAGTGATGCAATGCTGAATTTCTCCAGATCATTTCTGAATAAGAAACTAAAATTTTCAGCAAATGTTAATTTTTTGGTGAACTATTCCTTTATTCCAATTATATCTTTTGCATTTGGTGCCACTAGTGGAATAAAAAAAACGACACACTTCACCTTTGAATTAGCAGATATGTTTACATATGTTTTATATAAGGCTAAATCTCCAAGAACAAGACTGAGTGTCCTTGTTCTTTAATGTAGTTGATGCTACAATAGACATACTGTTGAATATATCTGTCTACCACACAGGGGCCACTGAAGGGTTTCCTGGAAGTGCTTGGGAAGCTTCAGAAGAAATTCTACGCTAAAGGCCACCGTATGGACTGTCCCATCCGCACCTACCTCGTGACGGCCCGCAGCGCAGCCAGCTCAGGCATCCGTGCCTTAAAGACTCTCCGTGCTTGGGGACTGGAGATGGATGAGGCTCTTTTCCTGGCCGGGGCACCAAAAGGCCCCATGCTGGAGAAAATCCGGCCCCACATCTACTTTGATGACCAGATGTTTCATGTGGAGGGTGCTGTAGAGATGGGTGCCATTGCCGCCCATGTGCCCTATGGGATTGCACAGAAATACCCTCATAAAAAAAGCACCAATGCAGGAAAATAACAAAGGCGAATTGGGAAAATATAAAGAGGCGCATTATGTTCTTATTTTGGAAGCGACGTTCAAGTTGCAGATATCTTTATTTTGTAAACTCGGTTGTGCACTCATTGGATCAGGACCTCAGCATTCTCTTGGCCTTTTTCTGTGACCTATGCAAGGACACACACAATATTTAACCAGCTAAAGATTCAACCCAGTATTGTTCTTCTGCACACTGCCTCAACATCAGTAATTCTGTACGAATTCATTATGAATGAAAGCACTGCAATGAATGGTCATTTTCATCTAAGCTTACGTTTCTTAGTGATGGTTTGTCGAAATATACATGACATCAACTTACTGTTAAAATGGAATGTGTGCTGCTATTCATACAGTGGGGAAAAAAAGTATTTAGTTAGCCACCAATTGTGCAAGTTCTCCCACTTAAAAAGATGAGAGAGGCCTGTAATTTTCATCATAGGTATAACTCAACTATGAGAGACAAAATTAGCAAAAAAACCCCAGAAAATCACATTGTAGGATTTTTAAAGAATTTATTTGCAAATTATAGTGGAAAATAAGTATTTGGTCAATAACAAAATTTCATCTCAATACTTTGTTATATACCCTTTGTTGGCAATGACAGAGGTCAAATGTTTTCTGTAAGTCTTCACAAGGGTTTCACACACTGTTGCTGGTATTTTGGCCCATTCCTCCATGCAGATCTCCTCTAGAGCAGTAATGTTTTGGGGCTGTCGCTGGGCAACACGGATTTTCTATGGGGTTGAGATCTGGAGACTGGCTAGGCCACTCCAGGACCTTGAAATGCTTCTTACGAAGCCACTCCTTCGTTGCCCGGGCGGTGTGTTTGGGATCATTGTCATGCTGAAAGACCCAGCCACGTTTCATCTTCAATGCCCTTGCTGATGGAAGGAGGTTTTCACTCAAAATCTCACGATACATGGCCCCATTCATTCTTTCGTTTACACAGATCAGTCGTCCTGGTCCCTTTGCAGAAAAACAACCCCAAAGCATGATCCCGAGGAATTTACCAATTAATTCTTTAACAATCCTACAATGTGATTTTCTGGATTTTTTTTTCTCATTTTGTCTCTCATAGTTGAGGTATACCTATGATGAAAATTACAGGCCTCTCTCATCTTTTTAAGTGGGAGAACTTGCACAATTGGTGGCTGACTAAATACTTTTTTGCCCCACTGTATATGTGAAGTGAATATGTAAAGTGACAAAGGAGAAGGAGTGATACTGAAATGGTGTTTACACAGTGTGTGTTTTGAACCGCACTGTATAATTCAGCAATGGACTTTGAAGGGTATTCTTGTTTATTGCTGTAGATGGTGTTGTGTTAGCAAAACTACAGTATTCTTTTATGTAATCTAATGTATGTGGTCGTCTATAATGGAAGGAGTGTTAGTCTGTAATGTAATGTTCGATATTGATAAGAAGCCATAATATTTTACATGAGAAGATGAAATACTCAGAATCTATAGAAAGCCATGAGTATATATATATATATATATTTCATCTTTCATCTGTACTTTTTTGTTTTTCTCATCTGCATTCAATATACACTACTGTTTAAAAGTTTAGTAATTAGAGTTAGTAATATATTTTGAAAGAAATTAATAATTGTATTAAGCAAGGATGCATTAGTTTCCACAAAAATATTAAGCAGCACGAATGTTTTCAGTATTGATGATAATCAATGTTTCTTGAGCAGCAAAGCGGCATATTAGAATAATTTCTGAAGGATCATGTGACACTGAAGACTGGAGTAATGATGCTGAAAATTTAGCTTTGCATCACAGGAATAAATTACATTTGAAAATAAATTACAATAGAAAACATTTTTGATCAAATAAATGCAGCCTTGATGAGCATTAAAGACTTCTTTCAAAAACATTAAAATATCTTACTAACTCCAAACTTTTGAATGATGGTGTAAATATATATCTTTTGACAGAAAACAATTGTTAAGTATTGATTACTTTTGTGTCCTGTACCAAATAGTGGATTAGCCTAAAAAACTGGCTAAGTCTGATCCACCTGTGTCCATAGGCCTCAAATAAAAACATGCATACTTATATGTACTTAGCTATTCTCAGCCAAGACAATTTGACATGGTTGGTAATGGAAATTAATGTATGTGAAAGGGAATGTAAAAGGGAAAGAAGTGGTCACTGGTCACATATATAGACAGATGTCATCCAAAGGGGGAAAAAAATCCCTTGCTAGTTAATTTGTAGAAACAAAACAGATAAACCGTGCAATATTTCTATTGAGCTTCATTACCTGCCACTCGTTCTCTGCAGATACACTTGTCATGCAGTTAATGTAATTTCTTGTTTACACCTAATCCTTGGCTTGGCATCTAGCACACAAATAAAAGCTATCATCATTATGCTTCAATCCAGAACTGGCTCTGCTTTTGGGTAGTGAAGACATTATTTCCTGTTTATTATTCACATGTTTCCTGTGCCTTGTCTTCCTGTGCTGTTTAGTAATGTTTTGCAGCATCTGTCCTACAGCATCTGTCCTACAAACAAATTGCATTGACATCAATGTTTAGTCTGCCTCTTTAAATTAATCCACCTCTCATTGTTAAATCTACACAAAATGTTACAGACTAGCTGCCGTCTCCATAAATGTTCATTTACAGAGATGTGCCACTGTACAGTTATTCTAATATGGACTGAGAATGTCAATATTTTGAAGGACAAAACATATATAATGCAATAATTATGATTTAATTAAAAAAGATACAGTGTATGTATGTGATTTGAGGTATATTCAGGCAAACTATGCTACTTTTGGACAATTATGATGGCTGTCAAAAGAGAGCCCAATTTCCGGTGTTATCCTATTTGTTGTCACAATAATGAAAGACATTCTAACCAAGGCTAGTTAATTTTGCCAAACAATATTTTACAGCCATTCTAAGGAAATTACCTAATAACTTTTAATGTCATTTCTTAAATTATTAGCTAATGTCATGAATACAGATAAAGATAGTCAAAGACATTTCCAACAATGAATAAACCTTCTACTCATTAAACTGTACAATGTAGAAATAAAGTAATTAACTCAGAGAAGCAAACATCATTTCAGCTTTCATTGTGCTCTTTATAATCATAACTGCAACTAATGGACATGGAGAACGTATTATTCTCTTAAACTTTACATACAGAATGCAGGACGTTCTGTTCTGACCGAATGAAGAGGTTTTAATGATTTTAATGAAAATCTACCTTGATACAAAAGGAAAAATTTCAAGGAGGGCAGAATTTTATGAGGACACAGAACTTCTGTATCCATGTGCAACGTGGCAGAAAAAAGTCTTATCAGTTTCACTGTCAGCACATTTCCCCTGCAAATGCTGTGTAGACAAAATAGTAATTGCATAATAGTCCTTCAGCTGTTTCTTGTTCAGTATAAAGAATAAAATGTTTTATAAAATTACAATATGTTTTCGCAATCCTGGCATGCACCTCCTCAGCATTACATTAGGTGGCAGCAATGCTTTATGTGATCCTCAACGACTGCAGAAGATCTAGAAGCTGAAGACATCAAAACATTATTAATGCTAGCATAATATCAAAATAAATCTCTTAAAACATGGATGAATAAGGAGCATTTATATACTATAGACGTTTATTATTTTGTGTGTCATCCCACTTTATATAATGTATAATGATTATATAATGTCTAAAAACAGGACTAAAATTTGTCAGTGTCCAAGCACTTGGTAAGCTCTGTGAGGTTTTGAAATTAAAAAGAGAAGAAATGAATGCTTTCTCTGTTCATCATTGCTGCTTGTGCCAATTACCCAGAAGCCTCACCAAACTGCAGGCGCAGATAAACTAGAGGGCTATTAAGCAACTGTGCCTCTGAGGTGCCATCGTGGTAATGAGGCCATCGTTGTCCACCCCATGTGTAGAGATTGATCAGAGATCATTTCCATTTTATTACTTCGGAGAAGTGCTGGGGAAGGACTTCTGCCATCTGGCTGACTTTATTAATACACTGTTCTCAAACACTCTGTAAATAAGCAAATGAAAGTCTGCTGCTAAACAGAATGTCAATAAAATGGTCATTTGAATCTGACTGATTAATAAAACCAATTCAGGATGCATTTGAACAACACCTTCATTTCAATTGCAAACCTGGACTTGAACGTTCAAATGAAATATTAAAGGAACAGTTCACCGAAAAATGAAAATTTGCTGAAAATGTATATTGTCAGGTCATCCAAAATGTACATGAATTTATTTCTTCATCGAAACAGATTTGGGGAAATTTAGCATTACATCACTTGCTCACTAATGGGTCCTCTGCAGTGAATGGGTGCCGTCAGAATGAGTCCAAACTGCTGATAAAAACATCTCAATAATCAAAAAGTTCATCATAGTCATTTTGCATGTTTGTAAGAAATAAAGCCATGGATACAGATAAAGGTGTAGTCAAAGACATTTCCAGTACTGAATAAACCAGTCCAAAACAGTTTTAAACAAATATACAAATATGTGGGTGGATTTGGATGTGAGAGGACAACAGAGGATGAACTTTTTCACTGAAGCAACATCTTGATGGAGTCATGTTGTGGATGATTGTGATGTTTTTATCAGCTGTTTGGACTCATTTTGACGGCACCCATTCACTGCAGAGGATCCATTGGTGAGCAAGTGATGCAATGCTAAATTTCTCCAAATCTGTTCTGATGAAGAAATAAACTCATCTACATCTTGGATGACCTGAGGATGAGTACATTTTCATCAAATGATCATTTTTGGGTGAACTATTCCTTTAACAAAAGGTAGAATTGCTGTTGCATAATTTTCCATTCTTCTGACAAATTTAAATGAATGAGGATGCATGTTGTAAACAATTTGCCCATAGAGGCACTTCAAACTGATTATGTGTGATAAAGCTCACAGAAACTAAATTCTGCCTGCAAATCGATGGTGATGCTGAAACTGTTTTGTTTGCTTGGGGAAAACCATGCTGTTATGCACTGGAAAATAAATTCATAACACTTTTACTTCCTTCCTGTAGTTCTGCAGTTGGTTCATTGTGCACTGGCTTGATAAGGGTCTCACAGAGTGGAACATTACAAGTCGAGGCAAATTTGTGTTTTTTGATATGCCTGTTTTGTCAGAGACACATTAAAATGGCATTTTATGTTGAAATAATGAGCATGGATTTTTTTTAGAATAACCTTAGGTCAGCATGCACACAAATCCAAACAAACTGAAGCTCACTAGATACTTATAACAGCTGCTCTGTTTTGACATTTGCCAAGCTTGGCTAATTAAAGTGTCTGTAAATCTGCACAATGCAGGCATAAAAGCATTTCTTTAGTCACAACCAGATGTTAGCGGTTCTGTATACATTTGGCAGTTTGTATGTGTTGTACTTGCAC